ATATATTTGGATAAAATATTAGTTCAAATAAATGTTATTAAAAAGTTTTCTATAAAATTTATTTTAACTATGTTTACTAAAATAATCTATGAGTCAGAATTATTATATTTCTAATTTGTTCATGGATGATTGAGGTGTTTCTCTTTCATTTCTAAAAGAAAATAATTCGAGTAATTTTATTTCATTTTGATATTATAATTTTAATATACAATTTATCACCTTTTTAATTATATCTAGATAATATCAATTTCGTAGAGATTCTTGAAATCCGAAAGTTATTCTAAGTGGGTTAATCCCCTTTCTTCCAATGGTTTTTTATCTTCAATTTTTTTAAAAGTTTATTTATTTATAACAACATAAGATATTGAAATTGTTAAATACAGAAAATGGGTCAAATTCAATGGGCGATAATGTTTTAACTAAGGTTTGGCTATCGATCCTTAAGATGTTAGCTTCTTGAATTCCAAAGGTATGTTTTCTTCAATTTTTTAAAGATGCATGTCTATGAGCATTAATTATTCAATCAGATATTTTATTATGACTTTTTTGATAGAATATATAAAATTCTATTTTGAATATAATTTTCTATTTAAACAGCATTAGAATTCAATATCATAATTTCTTTTTATTATATTTCATATTTATCCCCCTATTTCATCCCCAATTTTTTCTAATGACTTTTTTAAAATGATATTCTGAATCACATTCCATCTTTTTAATTTACCCAATTGTATTTCTGAATCCATCCCCAATAACATCTCTTATTTTATATCATGTTTATTCAGTTATATCACCTAAATTAATTATAAAATAGTTTATGATATATTTGATGAAATACATATGATAAAATAGGGGATGAAATAAAATGTGATGAAATAGTAATGAAAGAAAGGTGATAAACTAGGGGAAAATGCGAAATTAATTACAAATAAAATAGGTGATGAAAAATTTGAAGAATGTCTATTCTATCTTTTGAGGATATTCACTATGGGGGATACTTAAAATGCATTAAGAATTTTAATGAAACTTTGGCTATCAATCCATAATATGTGTAAACTTTACATGGCATAGATATAATGGAATCATTTCTTAAAGGTCGAATCCTACAGGATACGGATTAATTTGAATAGGCAATAAAATACTATGACACAGTTTTCAGTATTAATCCTCAATTTTAAAATTCTTTATACAACAAAGGGGTGTTTAAATCAATTTTTTCAAGGTCTATGCTTATTCCATATGGATCAATATGAATAGGCTATTGAATATATCGACAAGGTTATGGCCATCAGTCGTTAAAATTTTGATGTCTAACATCTCAAAAGTACATTAAAACATTTTTTTAAAGGTCAATGCTTATCAAATATAAGTAATTGATCTGAATAATAGTAATTTTTGATCAAAATCAAGAGAAAATTAAATGCTGTGATATTGCACAGCCCTTAACATGCTCTTGTCATATACACCAAAGGTATGTTTAAATCAATCTTTTAAAGGTGTATTACTAGGTGAATAGGGTCAATATGAAGAGGCGATTTAATGCTTTGAAAACACTTTGAATATTTATGACTTTTTTATTTTTTTAGCTAATAAATTGATCAATATTTTTATAATTAAACTATTCGGTTAAAAAAAATGAACGATGAATCACCTAATAGATCAAAAAGCATTGAAATCAATCTAACAAAGATGTTAGATCGAATGAAAAACAATTCATTTCATATGTAGAAAGTATGTGTTGGTGATTTAATCAATAAAAGTCAAACTCATGTAATTGCTAAACCAATAAGGCAATAAATGACTCCGACACCTGAAGAAAAAGAGAATAAAGAACTTACATTTAAACCATAAATTAATGTATTATTATATTCTAAGAAGAAATATCCCAATTATTTAAATCAAACATCCTTTTTAGAGAGAAATGAATAATGGCAAAAAAATAAATTACAAAAGCAATAAGAAACAAGCAAAACTTATTTAGAGGAAAAAGAAAAGATTATCAATAAAGAGTGCTCTTTTAAACCCAAAATCACTCCTCATCAATCTGCCAGACTACCAAGGCAGTAGAAACAATAACCTCAACCAAGCACAAATTCTATCAAGTAATAACCAGTAATACCCAATATAACAATGTAAGCCTTGTAATATGAACTAAG